TCGTCTTAAGAAGGTAGAAGATTCTCCAGGTTCCAGTATTTGTTGCCTGGTGAAGATACCAGGCTCAATCAGACCATACTGAATAAGTCAATAGAATAAATAGTCTTGTCTTAAATTCCTCCAAGTAGGCAAATTATGGGGGAGATCTTACCAGGAAGTGGAGAAAAATGCGATAGAAGATAATTTAAGGCTTTGGAAAAAGAGAAGGGTATTGTATGTCTTTTATTTTTATAGTGTGCATTGTAAACTTCAGGGCTGTGTGTCCCCCTAAGAAGTCATTGTTCCAAGTTCAGTCATACAGTTCTCTCTTAAATGTCTTAAGAAACTGACATTTTAAATGCTTTGTGAGTTTGGAGGTCTGTACTATCCCAAGTATGCTTATTATTAATTTAGGAGCATGAGAGAAGACTTGAACAGGCAAGATAAATAAAGGAGGAGTCTCATCAGGCAATATTAGGGGAATAATTTTCTGCAGTTGTTTTTGACTTCAGCAGAACATTGACTGGAATAAAAATAGAAAAAATTCCATCTTCATCTGCAGAAACAAATAAGTTGTGCAGTTCTAGTTCACATAGACATTCTTTAAATTCAGTAGTCTTTCCAAGTCAAACTGTTCTTTTCTATATCACAAGAATTCTGAAAATCCATTGTGGGGTGTTTGGTGAACTCAAAATTGGTCTCATTGGACCTGTCCTTTACTGCTTTTAGTTCTTGTCCCTTCACTGTACTTGGTCAAAAACTTGGTGAAACTTAGCAGTTCTGTTCTCAAGGGGTCTGCTGACTGACTGGGGTGTTCAAGATAGTTCTCTGAGCGTGTGTAAGCTCTGGTATCTTCCTGTGGGATACGGTAAAAATCATTCGGCTGTATTTCACATGGAGAGTTTCTGTACCAGTGAGTGATATTTATTCCTTTGGAAAACTAGATTACAAGAGGAACTGTATGATTTTAGCACCTTTTATTTTTACAGGTAGTTGCTAATCATCTGCCCAACAGGGAATGGCAAATAAGCAGTCAGGGGAGGTCCAAGAATGGAGATGTAGCCTAAATGAAGAAATTGCATTGTGTTACTATCCTGCAGGCCAAGGTTCAACAGCTTTCCAATGCCACCAGTATAGAATTGCTGATGCCTGTGTGCTGGCGCAAAGACTTTTACTGCTATCATTACCTCCAGGTAATGCCTGAATGCCTAGGAAAAGGACATAAAGATGTCCAGGAGAGACTTGGTAAATCCTTGGTTGTGACTTGCCTGCAGAGAAATACCTTCATAGGGAAAGTCTGAATTATTGGGATCAGTCACATTTTGTTCGTATATTTGAGCTTTTTTTTTTTTTTTTAATACCATTAAAAGATCCTGGTGTGTCTGAAGTTCTAGCAATTCATTTTAACTAAACAAATACAAACCCCAGGTGTATACATTTTGTCAAATTCTTAATTGCAAGTTTCTTGCCCCTTGCAATTTGTAAAGCAACAGCAGGTATCTGGAAGTTCTTGGAAGATTTTTGGTCAGCAGAAACCCTTCATGGGTTTTATGGGATTTGATAATCCTTCAGCCTGAGATGGAGAAGGCCTTTGGGTAGATATTTAATTTTTTCAAGTAGGGATGCTAATAGGGGGCTACCTGCCTTAATTTACACTTCCTATTAATTTTTCTTAATTTTTGATTTTATTTATTTAGCTGCATTGAGGCTTTCAGAGGCTCTTCATTGCATCTGCAGGTGAGACCAAACAGTGGTCTTGTTGTGGTCAGGGATCTGCAGCTGAGAGAAAACTGTAGACATGTATATGCAGAAGGCTCAATAACATGGGGACTGTACTTAAAAAGCATCATCTGTAAAAAGCTTTGTCCATTACACTGTCTCCCATGTCTAAGGCTTTTCAGCATGATCCCTTCTCTGCAGTCACTACCATGGCTGTGTAACTGCCATGCAGGGAGAGCAGCTGCCCTTACCCCATTCCTACTGGGACAAATTGTACCATCCCACTCTTGTTATTCTATTACAATCAATCCTCTTAAGTGATCTCCATACTTAAAAAAAATATTTCATCTCTCAGAAAGGGAGGTATGGCCAGAGTGGTGATCCTTGCTGTTTACAATCACTCACCTTTAGGTTTATTCTTCTAAAGCAATTTCCCAGTAACACTTTCTGTTTTGGCAAAAGATAGACTGAGACCATACAGCATAATGAATTTTCCCTTTTATGCTTTAAAATTTTACTTCCCTCACACGTCTTCTGTTGTGGAGAATAGCCCTGGAAATACCCTCCAATCCATACAATGGTGAGGAAATGTGGAATTTTGATTTCTGCATCTGCAAAACACTGTGTCAAATCTTTTTGCTTCGAGTTAGATTTTTCTGGCTTAATATTATTCTTAATGACCTCTAGTGCAACTAGAATTTGCTTGGTTTGGGTGCATGCCTTACAAATTGGGGAAAGATGAGTATTGGTGTCTGTTCCAGTTCCAACCGGGGATGGAGCAGGCAAGCGCGTGCCTGGGGCCCAGGGGTGTGTACGTGACACACGGACCCCAGTGCTGTGGCCCTGACCCCACGCTGGAGCCTTTGGCTCTGCCTCCCCCTCATCGCGTGGGCACGAGCAGCGGCCACCCTGTTCATTCTGGCCTGTAAGCACATTGCTGGCCTTGGGCAGAGGCACAAAAGTCAGTGAAATTTTGGTACAAAAGTTGTTGCTGAGAGTTGTTGTTACTTGGTGTTTGAGATCCTTATTTAATATCACACACATTTTAATCTTTAATTTATTGCCATTTGTAAATATTCTTGTGCTCACAGTTAATGTTTTGAGCTCTAATTTATTGAATTAGCCTACTTGCATATATGTAGTCATATAAATATGCTTACTTAAGCGAATAACAAGAAAAAATATTTAAGAAACGTAGCATTAAAATACAGAGAAATATTCGGATTATATTCAGATTTAAGAAGGGCACAGAAAGATTTATGGTTTTGTTTCCTTTTTTCCGTCCCTTAAAACAACTTCTGTGTTGCATTTGAACATTTATTAGAGATGGAGCTGGTGCAACATGAGCACAGTGAGAATATTTTGGTGGTGTTTGTTTTCCTTTGGAATGCTTTTGTATCCCTGAGTACAGCCAAGGAGCTGACTGGCTGCTTCTGGTGCTGGTGACATCAGGGGTGATGGTCTGGAAGATGCAGGACAGCGATGAGAGATTTCAAGGTTAATTTGCAATGAGTGGTAATGGCTTTTGCTTTTTGACATTTGACCAGGAAGGTTGCAGGGAAGGCCAGATGCTGACAGGATGCAACTACACAATTTTCAGTAATTGTCTTAGTCTCTTCCTTCTTGCCCATTGTCTATCTTCCTTCAGATAGACAACAGTAATGTATAAATGGTGCAAGAACTCTCATTTATTCTTTTTTATAAAGTATGATAAACCTACTTATTGTATGTACTTATTTATTAGTATTGAAATTCAACTCTTGACCCAAGGAAGTGAAGTGCAAAGTGAGGTACTTAAGGCTGAAACCGAAGTAGCTGGGTGGGTGATTGTATTGAACATTCACACTGCAAGGTGATGCTCTTTGTTGAGCAGCACCCCTTCAGTCTTGTGTCAGTGTTCCTAAGGAGCACATGGCAGAAATGTGTGCCACGTGTGCCATGCTGTGCTGTGCCACTCCCATCAGCAGGTTGATCTAGAAAGGATAAAAGTGCTTCAAACTGTTAATTGGTGAAAAGCATTACAACTGTTCTAACAGTGTGGCACTCCATACCTGAGTCAAAGGCTTATCTTGAGTTACTTGTTTAAAGGTTGCACAAGCAAAACAAAACTGAGGCCTAAGGTGTCTTTTAAAAACTTGCACTTAATGAACGTGAAAAATTGTTGCTTTTAACTAAAGTGTGTGCTTTTTTTTATTTTTAACACAGATGCACTGAAAGCTTCAAGTGAATGCCTCTCTAGTGTATCTGTATCTATATTCTACATGTAAAATTTGTCAGTGATTCTCAAAAAGGTGTTGTCTCACCTTTTGAGTAAATGTTGCTTTAGCTTAACAGCTTGATTTTAAAGGACAGTTCTTGGTTGTGAGCCAAATTATTGGCTGTCTACATGATGATTACTTAACACCTAAAATACCAATAGCTTTTCTAAAACCAGAGTCTTTGTTGTCTGACTGCACATAGCTGGAATGACTATTAAACAGAGTAGTTCGTAGTGAATTGAAATAACTATGCAATTTTGCCACTACTCCTAGATGAACACGCTTTCAAGAGCTTGTAATGGTGTGTACCTTCTGGCTGCCCAGTGCACGTACAACCACAGTCAGTAACCATTAAAATACAAGTATCCACTCCACTTGCACAGTGCATAGATCCCTTTATAAAAACTTTCATGTGTGTTGCATTTATCTTTTGGTTTTCAGTTGTTCCTTTTCTAGGGAAACTGAGTACTGTGTTCCATTTAAAAGCTTTAAATAAAGATTTCTTTATATACTCTTTGGTGCTCTTTTTTTTTTCATGTCAACGACTTGATTGCTGGAAGTTCTGGTACTTGGTTTTCATACCGATTCTTGTCCCTGTAAGCCAGCATGCAGACTCTTTCTGCCCTCACTCACCTGCTGAACTGTTGACTTCTCTCACATTTCTTGGGTTTTGGGGGTTTTACACTCAAGGCATCTCTAGTTCTTTCTGCTATAAGTGACAGGATCAGAAACAACTATCAGTGGTGGGACTTAGTGGATAATTAATCACTTCTCTGACCGATAAACAACCCACAGCAGATCAGAGAGTGAGAAAATATAGAAAATTGAAATGGATATGATGAAGACATTAAAAAAACAGTATCTTGCACATGCGGCCCTCATTCCCAATAAGCAATGCTGTTTCATGTTCTGAAGTGCATTCACACACTGAATGCAGCTGGCTGGCAGACAGGTAAGTGGCTGATGCCCAAGTTCCACAGCCCAGCTGGTGGGTCCTGGTGTGACAGGCAGCAGTGCCTCAGGAAAGATTTAAAAAGGATTAACTGCATTCCTGCATTTTTTATTTACTGTATACAGGAAAAGATTGATGTTTCCAAAGATAATCTCTTCTGCTTTGCTTTTGAAATTGCGTAAGAAAATTACTGGCAGATAAAGTTTAAGATAAACACAGGAGATGGTACTAACTGGCTTTTCTTGATAAATTTTGTGTTTATTGGACAGCTTCAAAGGGCCCAGAGGATGATTCGCAACTGGCCAGGCAAAAGGAATCTGCTAATCCTGCCTGCAACATCTCAGCCCAGCCAGGGGAGTGCTGAAACCAGCCTTTGTAACTGGATCTGGTTTGTGCCTTGCTGAGTATGCCTGCCAGCTCCTGGCATGTGTAGTAGCAGGGCTCTGAAACTACTTAAGCAATATAAAGCTGCTGCTAAAGCTATTCAAAGAATCTGAATTGTCTGTGATTGTTCCACACCAAATTCAGTTAAAAATGGACAAGGTATAAAGCTGTCAGTGACTGTTTCCACATTGTTTTCAGCAGCTCTGCTGTAGGAGAACACTGTTTTCAGAGACACAAATTCCTCCCTTTTTCCTGATGGTGCAGATTATAATCCAGTTTCCAGGAGCGTGGCCCTTCAGCACATACTTACACTTCATTTCCATCTTTTTGTCTTAAAACCTGTCTGTGTTACTGGTCTTACCTCATTTGAGCCCTAAGCAGTCTCATCTGTCCAGGTAAGAAAAAGCATATTTTAAAATGCCATTCCTCATTTATAGCAATGGCTTTATTATGAGAAAATAGGATTGATCTGATCACTTACAGTTGTGTGGCACCTTAGCTGTTGGTTCAGAGAGGAACCTGAGCTTGCATAAAACATTTGCAGTACAATCCTCAACTTTTTTTTGAATTCAGGCAAAGTCTTGAGAATGTATTTGTACTTTCTGCATTGAAATTCTACAGTTATCTCCATCGGCTGTACAAAATTTCTTCAGAGTAAAATACTTATATAGAAAAATATGATAGTCTATTACAATTAAAAATATAGTCAAACATTTGATTGTCAACCCAGTATTTTACAAAATACAGTGAACGTGATTGTGAATCTGAGAATTTGGTTTATAAAAACAGACATTCTTTTGCATATACAAAGCCACATTTGTGCAGGTGGATTTTGCCTGGCCATAACATCTCATTCCTGACTTTATTTTAAAATTACAAGCAGAGCAGTCATTAAAACCAAGACATGTAGGGTTGGTTTTACTGCAGCTGAAGCCCGTGTGAGCTCTTGGTACAGGGGAATTTTGGGACATGAAGCAACTCTTGGTCTGATAGAGACCTCTGAGAAAGAGAAGTCCTGCTTTAAAGCACTGAAGTTACCAGTGTTGTCAGGTATTTCCACTGTCTTCAGCATCGATTTAAATCCTGGTACAGTAGCCTAGGAGCAAACACAAAAGTGTTCTTACTTGATTTTGAAACATCTGAGTTCAGCTGTGAAACAACCAGAGTCTAATGTGCTTGTTTACACTTTAAATGTACAAGAAAAAATGTTCTAAATACACATTTGGAAACTTGGGATGAAAAAAGGGTAAAGTTTCCACATTATAGCAATAAGACTTTTTGTACAGGAGAGGGCATCCTGCAGTGATGCTCAAGTGTAAGCCCTCGGCTGACAGCAGGCAGAGCCTACACTGCATGGATGTTCTCTAACACTTCTGTGGAGAAACCGTTTTGACACAAGGAAATAACTGTCACCAGTGGTGGTGTCAGCCCGGTGCTGCCCTGATCCACCTCCTCACCCTGGGAGCTCTGTGCTTTGTTTCAAACACCTCAAGCTCAAGTCGCTGTGCTCCAGACGCTCATCCCCACTGGCTCCACCATCAAGGTCAGATGGGTGCTTATCTCTGGACATTGAGGACTTGAGATGTTACTATATCAAAAAATTTCCTTTCTGCTGACTCACATTTAAAGGTACTATTTTCTTTTAAATCTGCTAAAGGGTCTTTACAGCTCCTATATGTGACTCGAGCAGTTCAGCTCACTCATGTCTAAGGATGCCTTCTCACTGTGCTCAGGAATTCAAGGCAATTAGAAACAATAATTTAGTAAGGCTGCACACTTACATTGATTACATACGTCCCAGGCAAAAGGAGAAGATAGTACTCCCCTTGTTCATTTGTTCTGTAGGGGCAGATATGAGGCCTTCCCTTGGCTTCCACAATGGCATTGGGAATAGGATCCCCATTCTTATCAGTAACTTGACCCTTGACACCTATGAAAAAGAGAGAGGAGAGAGATCACGACCTGTAACTGTAGTGAGCTGCCTCCTCCAAGAAAGACTGTTCTCTTGCTGGGTGCACTCAAAAGCTGTTTCACTGAGTTTGAGCACATCTAATAATATCAGTAGTCACTTCTGTCTCACTGAAAGGAATTAGAATATGCCTGGTTGTTGTTTTTAATAGTTTACCCTCACGTTAAGTTAGAAAGCAGCAATATAATCTCCTAAATCTCATTTGCTGAAGGCATCATATACGCTTATTGTATGTGTATTTTACTGAAGGGCTTAAATCTTCAGTACTGCTTTGGCATTTTTTTGCACACACCCCTTCCTTCTCTTTTTGTAATTTAAAATAAGTCAGCCTGTTCTCTAATACTTCCCAAAGGCAGAATAGCAACAATGTCTGATTATGAAGTACTTTCCCTTAATTCTTACACACCGTCTTTAAGGCAGCACTGGCATTAGAGATAAAACAAATATTTTGGGCAATAAAATGCAAGATAGGCAACAGATTTGTGCAAGCCCTTTGTGCAAGCAGCACTGCTTCACTAAGCAGCAGCTCTCTTCCAACTGTGAAGTCAGGTCACACCTAGAAAAGTCTTTTAAAAATACAAAATCCAAGTAGCAAAAGACCCACAAAACTTGTGGGCAGGCACACATACACCTCTAAAATAAATGACTGCCCCAAGGCTGCTCAGGAAAGCAGAGTCTGTGAGGAGATGTATGGTCAGACAGCACCTGGGGCCTGTCCCTTGCTCCTGCCCCAGCACATTTTAAGCCCCTTGCACTACTGTAGTAGCACCCATTGCCCCTCACCTGACAGGCCTGAGTTCTCCTCCTTTACCCATCCCTGGCCTTGTAGCACTTCATGTTCAGAAGCTCCCAAGTTCACACCAGAGCTCCTCCTGCTGTGAGCTGTGACACTGACCCAGGCTGCCGAAGAGTTCCCACTAACCCGGCCTCAGCTTCACCTCCCATCCCCATTCACATACCCACCTAGGTGTACTTGTTTTATATATTCAATCAGAGCAACTTTGTTGTCTCTCCAGAACTTTTCCAGCTGGTCTGCTGGAGGATATTTACAGCATGACAGCTCCAATGTAATTTCAAAACATTGTCCCCAGACATAGTTGTAATCTTGCATTCCACCTTAAAAGTGAAATAAGAGAGTGTTCAGCTACAAAGAAGCACTAAGTTCCAAGTAAAAGACAAATAGAAGAGTTAAAATGTCGATCCTTGCATCCTACCAGTAAAAAAAGTAAATCAGGTAAATTATTCCTCAATGCCACACTTGTATTTACTGCCTCCTGTGGAAAACAGACTTTATTACTCTAGTTACACATAGAGTGGTATTTTCTAAAGCACAGTGGCATTTTGGGAATGATGATGATTCTGGCTGAGAAAGGATGGATCTTTGACTGAAATTCATTCAAGCATTTCCAACTAAATTGTGGCAGATAAATTCATCAGTTTGCCAAAGCCATTCCAAGAGCCTTTTATATGTCTTTGAATTCAGATGGTGAAAGCAATACACAATGCCACAGCACACAGGGCCCATATTCTATTTGGCTACACATAAACAGTAATGAAAACATTTATTTCAGTGATCAAACAATTAAAAAGGATGATATATGAACAGAAGATTGGTTTTCTTTCTCAAAGGACAAGATCTTGGTGCCAAGGAGTGTGTGCACGTGTGTATAATCTATATAGCTATTGCAGGCCTTAAACAAGAGCACGGAGGCAGCCAAACAGCAGTGACTGCCTCATTCACTTGTAATTGCTAGCTGGGAGAGACTGCAAACACCCAGGTCCTGCTCAGAGAATCTGCATGAAATGAGTTGGTTTACTCCCCTCATGAGCCCTCTACTCTGGGTAAAATCACTGTCCTTTCATCATCAGAGATGGCAGGAGAAAGTGAGACATCATATCAGAAGCAGCTGAATAAAATATCACTGAGATTCCTACCTTCCAACTGGTACCAAGAGTATCCATTGGTAATGCCTTCTGGAAAGGTTTGTCTCTTGTCACACCCAGTCCCTTTGTACATGCTGGCATGGTGGGAAGAATAGGTTTTTGCCAGGTGAATAAAGACATCATCATCTGGAGATCTGCTATAGCCTTTCGAAGAGCCAGTAACTACAGAATGAAGACAAAAATTGTTTAACTCTCATTACTGATAAAGCATACAGTGCTGGCTTACACACAGGATAAACGTCTCCCAAATAGCTACGTTAGGCAGTGAATTTTTATGGGGTTTATCAAATTCTGCCCATCCCAGCTCAAAAGCTAGAATAACCTTGCAGGAATCCTTATAAATTTTGCTTTGATACAGCTAATGTTCCTAAACCAAATCAGCTGTGAAGAAGAGAATTTGTTATTAGCTTACCTGAGTTACCATTATCAAAGGTGTAACTGGCAACCAGGGCACCCCCATGCAAGTTTGCTGAAAGAACAAACGTTTCATTTTTTATCCAGTTCATTACTGCTTGAGTCTCTGGCTGAATGCTAGCGTTGTTATTTTCAAAGGCATCAGGAAAATTTCTGTTCAGATCTTCTCCATTCTTGTTGTACCTTAGAGAGGAGAGAAGATATTCACATTACTGTTTTGCCTATGGACACCTCCACATCACCAGCCTCCCAAGTACTCCAGATCTATGGCATGGTAGTGTCTTCAGGAAACAAACAAGATGACCATTTCTTATTTCTGAAGCATTAAGATGATGGATTTCCATTTGATTTCTAGCAGCACTGGAATTTTCATAGGACACAATAAAATAATTCTTCTGTTGTATCTCAAGTGAAAACAGTGCATATTTAATATGCATATAGCATGCACACAGCTACATAGATGTGAATTAGAAAAACCAGAGCCAGATCAGGAGGACATTGTCCTTCTGTATGTGTTTTTCCCACTTGCATAGAGGACCAAGGTAACTACTGAATGGCTGTGTCCCTTGTACTGCCATATCTCCGGTCAGAGAGAAAAATTTGAGTCAAACACAGAATGTATTCTCTTCTCCCTGAACCCGAGGGTCCAGCCTGTGCAAAAGCTTACTTGCTTTTTCACTCAGACAGGAGTAAAGAGGGTATCTGCTGTCAATTGTGTTAATTTTTAAAGTCGTTAGTTAAACTGTATTTGACAGTGAGGGGATAAAATATACCCCCCTCCATACAAGTCCCATCTATTTGCTGAGAAATAAACTTCTTTCCTGATAAAAGGATGGCCTACACTGGTCACCCAAAGAACTACACTACCTAAACTACCTTTTCACTTGTTTCTGATGTTGCCATGGCCAGTGATCCAAGAGAAATTCTAGCTCATGAGTTTGCTTTTTCTGCACATTCCAACTTTGTCCCTTTGGCAATTCTTCCCATTCTCTCACTCTTTCCCTATTCTAGCTTGTTAAGCTTTCCATTCCCTTTTGGTCTCTGCAATGGTTACATTAAAGAAAACAAAAGTAGCACAGGATGCAATGCTAAGTTGGTTGCATTTTATTTTGTGTTAGTTTTTTTCCTAGTACTGCTATTAGTGCTACTATAGGTGCAGCTATTACCTATTATAGCCAGCTGTCACTGCGTAACTCCTCCCTCTTACTTTATCTGCATTCAACGTGATCTTCAAACACACTGCTAGAAGTCCACTCAACAAGCTTAGACACACCTTTGTCTCATTAAGAAGTGTTACAAAGTTCTCCAACTAAAATAGATCCCTGTGGGTGGAGTTTTCCTTCTTTTCTTGTAGCACCCTAAAGGTGCTACAAAATAGGGAATTGTGCTTGTATTAACAATCTGGGTCTCCTGCCTAAAAGGTGAGGTCATTACGCCATTCTGACCGATATTCTCTGGCTGCACCACATATAAACACCAGTCTGACTCAGTCTTCACAAACTCCATGTTGTTAAAGTGCGTCTTCAGAACTGCACTGGAAAAAATTAGCCCTAACACATCTTCTAGACTATCCTCTCCACCAAGTATGATTCAGACTCTTGGCTATCTGCGATTATTGCTCCCCACCCATTTCCTTTGCCTCTCCCACCCTCATAAGCCACTTTTACCTTCCTCGTGTGTAATAACAATCAGGCACTTCTGTAGCTTCAAATCCATCAGGATTCATTGTTGGCATGATATGAATCCGGGTATTATTGAGTAACCGGGTAATAACTGGGTCATGTCTATAGCTGGTCACCAGGAAGTCTATCAAATGGAGCAGGATTTCTCTCCCAACGGTCTGTATAAAAAAAACATAAGATTTTATTTTAAGTCTGCTATGGAAGACAAGAAGAAGAAAATAAATTTAAAAAAAGACCCACCACTTTGCACTTCCAGGTTTTTCTTACTGGATTACACAGACATACAAGGCATACAAGAGCATTCTAATCAACACTGGTTTGTTTTATGCTCTCCCCTAAATACATTTAAAGCAATTTCATAGATGAAAGGAATCACTGGAGGGTTTTCACAAGGGTTTTAAACCCAGATCAACCAGAGCTTTTTGTATAATGGGAAGCTGACTGTATCAGCTAGACTGCTTAGATCTGCATGGATAAGGCACAGCCTTATCAAAAACTAAAACTGCCTGATAAAGATCATGTGGGCTTGGGAACACCTCACTCTGTTTTCTCAGCCCCACTACAGTCACAGGTCTGTTCTGATGCCCAAGGAACCCTGCGTCCTGTATAGGACTGTCAGTGCTGTACATCACCACTTGGCAGTGATAGTTCAAAAGAAAGAAAGGAGAAGCCTACCATAATTGCAGAGCAGGCCTTTTCTTATTGATCCTCTTTTATGGAAAGTCAACTTTAATACAGGATCAAAGAGGCCCCATAGACACTTCTGTTACATTCCCTGCTACACTGCTTTATTTTAATGGCGTGAACACATGCATTGGGGAAACCAAACGTGTACATAAAACCTTAGAAAAAGACATGGAAGGACATTTGGATGCAGACTTTGAATCAAGGAAAGGCAGTGGTAGAGAAAAAGCTTAACACATATTTTTGTTCATATAAGTTTGTATAAGTTGTGAAAGCTGACAGGACATCTCCCTTTATCAGATTTCAGGTAAAATAGTGGCAAGTTCCAGACCCAGAGTTATGAACAATCAATCCTATTCTACCCCAGGAACCACTGTTGCAGTGTTTACTGGACTATGCTTTCCAGGGACACCTTCCATAGCACTGTGACCCATGCTTCATGGGCACTATAAGGTTCCTAGGCCCTGCCTGGAATGGGAATAAACCAAGATGCGCAACTAGATGTCCTCTAGAGACAATTTATTTTTACTTTATCTCCAAAAACAAAGCTTAGTAAATCACTGCAGGCTCTATTTCAGAGCTACAGCATCTCAGTATCTTTTAGAACGAGTCTTGCACCACTAAGGTGGAAATATTGCAAAGAATTCTTTTTTTCAAAGTGAGGAACACAGAGTGGCATTACCAGATGAACCTCATGTTGCAGATACACATCTCCTTGCTTTAAGATTACATTAATAATTTTTTCAGAGATATTGCACAGAACATTCTGAGTTGGAAGGGACCCGCAAGGATCATTGAGTCCAACTCTTAAGTAAATGGCTCCTGCAGAGATCAAACCCACAACCTTGGTTTATTAGCAACATGTTCTAACCAGCCGAGCTAATCTCAGGTAAAAGGTAGGTAGAATCAAGCAAGGGGAAAGCAATATTTCTCCACAGCTATTTGCTGCACTCGTTATCTTATTGAATTTTCACATTGGTGCATTTTAAGTGGCAAATTCTGCTTTTGGTGTTAAGGGAAATGGGAACACAGACACCATCCAGCAGGACCTCTGCCTGGATACGTGATGGGGCAGGAGAACTGGGTGTAGCTGCTGTTCAGGTTGGGAACAAATCATGTCTTGCCAGTTAGATGCCAATTGTTGTTTATTGCAGAAGAAACAAACAAACAAACAAGGTAGAGCCAAACCTGACTCGGCTAAGTTGCAGATCACACCATTTTAAGTGTCACACCTGAAGGTGGCTGTGGTCTCTGAATTGGTACTCAAGCAATTCTGCCATGCTGTTTGTACAGGGAAAAAGGAGGAGCTCTTCTCTTCCCACCTTGCCCCCCAGTAGATTTGTTCTTAGGTTTTACCCCTGTTGCTGGTCTCCTGCAAGCCACCGTCAAGTAATTTGCTAGGGGAACTTAAACACATATAGTATGCCAGTAACCAAGTGGTTCTTTTCGTAGACACTACAGAAAATGGGCTTTGAAAAAGGGGGGGGAAGGTACCTAATTTCCTCCATTTCCAGTAGCTTTCAAAGCAGCACCTGAGTAGGTGAAAACAGACTGCTCTGCAAGTTTGATAAATATACTCTCTGACATTTACGAAGAGATGCAATAGAACCTGTCTTGCACAGGCAGCTCTTGAACTGTGTGATAGACATCTTGGGAAGAATATAGGGGTGGGTGAAGAAAGGAAGGGAGAGAAACCAGCCAAATCATGGCCCTGGGCATGAGAGATAAAGCTAACAGACTCAGAATCAGCAAGAATGGCCCTACCGCAGAGACAGCTAAACTACAGACAAGACTGCACTGTTGTCTGGAGAAACTGGGAAAGTTTCTGTAAGTTTGCTGTACTTCTCTTCAGCGTCTGACCAAAAGAAAGGGTAGAGAAGCAGGAAAAGAAAGGGGAAAAAAGATAAAGAAAAGTAAAAAAAGAAGGTGATAGAAAAGGACAATATTTACAAAGAATGAAAGGTGACCAGTTTTTCACAGATGACATTCTTTGCACTTAAAAGTTAGCCCCAGAGTTAGTTATGTATACAGTATTTTAAAAACTGACTCTATTTTATAGGAATCCTTGTATAACTATTTTTGTACCCAAGTACTCAGCACATTAAACAATTCAAATTATCTCTGTCATAAGAGAACTGGTCCTCTTATCATTGCTCTTGAGGGAAGAATATACTTATTACCATTGTTTGGGTGGGGCAACAGAGACATTTGGGTCCAGAGTACCCTGCATTTCTTGAGAAAGCACATCTGGAGGTGTCTGAAGGAGAGAGAAAGTCTTTGTTTCTGGGAACCTATAGCTCAAGTTTTGATCAAGCCCTTGGAAAGCATCTGCTGTTCAGTCAATCTCTACCGTTACTACAGAGGTCAGCTGTACCCGTGGATAAGTTATGAGTTAGTTTTACTTTAGATCTTCAAATAATGGATCTGGATACACTGAAGGTAGTTTGCTGACAGTAAAGTCAAGGACAGACACCTTAGAGAGAAGAGCAGGGGACAGCATTTATAAGCTCTGGGGCTTTGAGAAGACATAATGAACATTTGGTTTTAATTGCAGTATCCCAAGGGTGATGCCCAGGTGTTTTGTTCTGCTGCAGTTCACATGAAGGCTGAGAGAAAAGCAAAGGAAAGCCCTTTCTCCCAGCTCTAGAGATGCAATTAGACGTTAAGTTTCTCTGTGCACTTTCAGCTGTCAGTTCCCTCCTGTGCACCAAAGGGAGAAAGTCAGGAGGAAAGGCTATCAGTGTTCCTCAGGGGAACTCTTGAACGAAGAAGTGTGCGTGTGTCAGGGCACGGATCAACACTGTAGAAAAGGGCGTGACTGCTGTTTCTGTACACATATCCCTTAAACTTTCTGACTCTCCCCTCTGGCATGGCTGTGTCAGCACCCTGCTCAGCTACCAGAGAGCTTACTCAAGAAGCCAGTTAGAAGATTAAGGTTAGCTTCAATTGAACCTGCACTGTAATACTTCACTGCAGCACCCCTGGCTTTAGAACATTGTTGTTACCACATGATAGAGACCTACTACAGACCAGGGGACTACTGGTGGATGGACTCTGCCCATTTTTATTATTAAAATTCTTTCCTTAAATGTGGCCTGATTTTTAAGTTCAACGATGTCGAAAGAAAGATCCAAACCATCAGGTAGGACCTGTTTCAGGGCAACAGTCTTGCCAGTTTCCTTGCTTGAGCTCCAGCCGCTCCACAGGCCTAGTTCAGCATACCAGGCACAACCTCACCTAAGGAAGTGGAGTTAGAGCAGAGAAACCAGTAGTCCATCTTGGTTTCCCACTTAAATGCCACACTTATAAGATGTTATTTCTAACACTTGTACAGTGTTATACATATACATAATTATTATGCACTGCTACAACACACTCCACTGTGTTTGTCTTTCTTTACTAAAATACACCAGTGTTAAAGTGACTGTTTATGCAATTAGTTTGGCACACATACATTTATTTCTACAGCAGCAATCACTATGAAAATCTGAGAATAGCACATGTATGACAGGGAAGTGCAGTTCCTTGGTTTATCACTGAAGGAAATGGCAACACAAAGCCTGCTTTTGAACTAGTAACTGGTGTAAGTTGTTACTGCCTGGACAAATTCCACATGCTTCTCAGCACCTGGCTGACAAATGGATAGCTTTTTCTTTTCCCACTCAGAAGAGTGTGAGGAAGATAAGGAAAAAGGTAACTGGGGCAAGGCAGTGTTGAACTGTGTTGAAACAGATCTCAGCAGCACCCAGCTAATTTAAAAGTCTGTTGTTAGCACTGAGATTTGATTGCTTTGAATTTTGAAACCTCTGGTGCTTCTGACCTTCTTAACATTACATCAGCTGATACTGAAGCCAGGTGGAAAATAGTTTACAATGCAATTTTTTTAAATAAATATATTTTTATTTTCTAGAGCACATATTATTTCCCTGCACAGCACTTCCATAATATATTGCAGAGTACTAAGGACATAGGAATATGTGCTGAAAATAGCAGATTGTGTAGTATGTGGACACAATTGTTTTTTTGCAACTGGGTGATAAAAAAACCAGCCTTTTTTTCCATAGCGGTATCTTGATAGTGTAAATGTAGCTTCCATCTATTTTCTTGGAAATAGGAGTGAGAAATTCTATACAAGAACTAGTGTGTTGTCATTTGTTTGTTGTTTAAGTTTTTTTAAGTCTCAGTTATACTGATTACAAATAAAACTACTCCAGTCCTTACTCACCTAAGCCCTAATATCTCAAAAAACTTATGTCATGCCATATCTCAGGAAACCTTATTGTGGATATGAATATGTCTGTGATGACATGGAAAATAGGATATAGGTGCTTTAACTTATTTCACAAGATAAGCCAGCAAAATAAACGTTTCATGTAGGTTAGCTCAGACGTATCAGTCCAGGCTCAGTTCCACATAATGTAAGAGGCAAAATACTATTACACTAAGAAAATAAAGCAACCAGAAGTGGATGCTTTAGGAGAAAAGGATTGGTATCAGCATTGCCATCCTGAGAAAGATGTTATCTCGTGGTGGCCCAGTAACATTGTAGCTGCAGAAGGTTAAGAAAGCCATATACATTAAAGGGAACAAGCAGAAACACATGGGTAGTTTACAGTTTGTTCAGACATGCTTCTTAAAGGATTTCCCTGCTGTGACATACATGGTTTAGGAACAGCCTTCCAATTAGATCCTATGGTTCAGTTGTATAGAATGGACTCAAGTCACTGGCACAGCTGGTCCAAAGGTGATAGGTCTACTCCATTTATGACTTTGGGGTATTTAGGGGTCTGGTTGTGGTCGATGTTAAGTGGAATCAGTTCTTCCCCAGGGAGGAATGTGTGAGTGTACAGACTGAGAAAGAGAAGATCTTTCAAGCAAGAGTATGAGGCTGGGACAAGAGAAGCTGCTGCCTAATTCAGAATGGGAGCCGCCCCAGAGCAGGAGGCAAACTCTCCCTCACCTTCCCCAGTGCAGACTCTATTAACATTTCACAGGCTTATGCATCTTATGCAGTCTATTAGCGTCATTTTGATGAATCAGTTTAAATTAGTTTTAATCTGGCTTGGGTTAAACAAAAAGTACTGCTAAAGATGGTGCCCAACTTCATACAGTCACACAAAGAACAGGAGAAGTCTTTTGTTGTCTCTCTGTCAATCTGGGGCAAAAGTTCACTCTATTTGGCAATGATGAACCTAAAAGCAATTCTTTTAAATCTTGGCTGGTTATGCCCTACAGTATTAAGAAAAAATCAGCCAGTTCTGAAAAAACCAACTCTTTTCCTAGAATTGTGGACTCACATTATTTTATTAGAACTTCCCTATTTGGCAGCTCTCCAAATAACCTAGATTTTCTTTCAGAAGCATGTGTGAACAGCCCACACACATGCAATTCAGGATCCTTCCCAACTTTTATGTTTTAGGAGCAGCTGGCCAGCTAACTCAAAGTTAAGTGTCATTTGTGTGATCATGACAGGTTAGAAGGGCAGCATGACCAAACAACACCCGAGAACAGAACTTTTCTCATTTTGTATCATTTTTGGAAAGCGTCACTAAAGCACAAAAAATCTGACTGGATCAATGAAGCCACAATCCCACAATTTAAATTTATGAAAGACTCTGGCACACAAATTGAAGCTTGTCATACAAAACTTATCTGCTTAATATATTGAGGGGGTAGTCGAATCTATCCCCAGTGACTATCCGGCAGAATCTTAGATTAGGGGAAAAAAAAGTCAAATTCTCCAATGCCTCTCTATATGAGGAATTCATTTCCTGACATCTGAAATACATTTACAATCAGATAAAAAACAAACACCAACTGTGCATTATATGTATATACAAAAAAAAAAAAACACATTAGGCAAAGATCGTCATGAGGGCCTGAAAGGAAGAATAGCTCTATTTCCAGAATGTTCCCTAGGTACATGCTTGGTCTAGTGAACAAGAGAGAATGTAGCATGCCACATACTATATGGTACCCAGGCATCTCAAGGATCAACCCTGCTCAGACTGTCTGGCACTGTGTCTGACTTTAAAACAAAATCTTGCCTCATTTCCTCATGAAGACAATAAAAAAACTTAGATCCTAGGCAGTGATCTGAGTTGCCAATCTGCAGCAACTCTCAACCCTATGCACATGCAAACGGTGCTTGTTCCTATGTTCAGAGCTCCTTGTATGTATCCAGCTGGGCACTGATAATGGCACGGGTGTTTCATTGTGGAGGCTTCAATATATGTGGCCTTTTGCAGTGCAGCAACATTCATGCTATGACAGTCATGCTGTTCTGGATGAGATCATATCTTGTTCTCCACCTCCTTCCCATCAAAGCTAAGTGATCTATAGCCATAGGTTTGCCATTCCCTTCATCAGGGATTGTCATATGGACCCCCAGTTCCTAGGCACCATATACTCCCCTGCTGACACAAAACAGGTTTCAGGAGCTGCAAACCCTGTCCAGGGGTTTGAACACGTTTGAAACCATGAATCAGCTTCTTCCCACACAGAGTTAAATTCCAAATCAGTCAAATTTCCAGCAGCACTTTTAGCATAGCCACTGTCAAACAAGGTGAAACTAGTCTGACTTGGGGAAAATTCTTGGCACAAAACATCATAAGTGCCTGTAGGTGCGCAAGTGCTCCCACACAGTATTGTTAATAGTAATAACTTGTAATACATTGCCCTTTACACAGGATGCACTTCCTACTACACATATTTTTCTTAGTTTTGGGAATTCACAGACTAGTATATATATTATATGTATATATACACATACATACACACACACTCCTGTTAAATTATTTAACCCTCACATGAAGACCGCATAAAAACATATTGAGTAGTTTAAACTTATCCTGAACATGACTAATATAAGCAGGTAAACTAAAGAATAAGGGAAGTAGAAAGCAAGAAAGTACTATAGAGGAGAGTGAAGCTTTGATTCTTTCTGATCCAGATTCATGTACTGCAACAGGAATGCTGATAATCACCATTCTCTTATTTATCATTAATAAGTGGGCATTCCTCCTAGAGCAAGTTATTTGCTTTGGAATTGCTTTTTGTTTTGTATTCACTGTGTTAGCTCAGGTGAATTTAGGTGTTCCTAGCTTAAGGTTTCCAAGATAAATTTTCTTCCTAAAATAAATAATTTGATGCTTCACAGTAATTATTATTTAATCTTACAATGTATTTGAAGAGATCTATCAGTCATATTCCATGCCTAGGCAATAATAATGTACAAGCAAACTACTGAATCTGACTCACTGACAGGAAAGTTAAAGCCTCTGGGTTTTATCACTTGGAGAAGACAAAGCTCTCTACTTAAGAGACGTCTTGGGTGTAGGATTGTAGGACTCTTAACTATGATGTCAGGTCTGTTAAAGCCTTTCCACCAAAACAAGGGAACTTTATTCTTAAAATTCCTCAAGAAATACACGCATATTATGTCCTCTTTGAGTTATGACATACCTCAATAATAAGTAGCACATGCCAGAGAAAAGTTCACTCTAAACCCCTGATAAGTGTATTTGGTATAAATGACATTGCAAAAATGGAAACGTACCTCATCCCCATGCATATTAGCAACATACTTGAACTCTGGAATGCCAATCTTATGATGGGTTGGAAACCTTCCCAGAACAAGAACCCACAGGTCTCTACCTTTAAGAGGGGAAGGGGAAAAGACATTTTTTAAACAAGCATAAAATCATACAAACCTTAGAAGAAAAAGAATAAAAAGAATTGGTCATTAAGGCCACCATACAATTTCTCATATTTCATTGGTGCCCAGTCAGTCCTACATATAACATATCCAAGCAGACTGTGGAGTGCTTTTATTCTATGAATATATGCCATATTAGCTATAGGAACAAATACACTTTGCCTTCTGACCAAGTATGTAGTGAACCCTGCAATTTCTACAGCATTTAGGCAGTACTAGAAAAGAAGGCTTTTTTTTTGTAATAAACATTTTTCAAATCAAATTTAGCAAACAAGATCACTCTTCCCCCCAAAATATTACACTATAAGGCTTTTCTGAAGTATATATAGAAGTTTTCATTATCACAAAGAAAGAATATCTGGTTTTGTACTAAAGATAACACAAAAAAGCTAAACACATTCATGCATTACTGCTCAGAAAACAGGAGGTACCAGGAAGAGCTGTATCAGAGACATATTCCAAATATATCAGCAGGGAAGAAATTAAGAGCTACAGAAAGAGTATTAGTTAGGACCACTAATGCTGCACAGGAAGCTGAACTTTTAAGTAACAAAATAAACATACCTACATTTTGGAAGTCCTCAGTGGGGGGGCAATTTTTGTTATTATTTTTAGCAATACTGTGGCATTTCAGACCTCATCTGCAAAACTCTGCTTCCCACTGGTCTGTTCATTGAGGTGGAAAACTCAAGTTGCAGTAGATGGCAGCAACGAAACTGGACCAGTTCTTTGATAATAGCAGTCACAGCCTATAGATTGCTAATGCCCAGAGCTTTCATGCATGCTACCTGTCCCCAGCTCTCACACAGGGCTAGCTGGGACCCGTGAGCTGTCTGAGACGAGTCCAGCCATCACTGTTACTTACAAGAAAGAAGAACATAGGTGCTGCTATAGGCAGTACTATAAAAAGCATTACTTCGTAAATCTTTGTGGATCATCAAATCTGCAGTAAACAAGCTCTGGAGCATATAAATTTCCCATTCCTCAACCCACGACCTCCACGGTCATGCACATGTCACAGCACTCTTGTTTTCTTTTCCAGCTGTGTGACTCACAGCAGTTATACCACAAGGGTCATGACTTCAGGAATGGGAGAAAAAAATTGCAGAGGACTGAAAGAACACTGCAAGATGCACAGAAACAATTATAAGAGGTAAAACTGAAGACAGTGGTTCCCAAACTAAATTCTTACTTAACAGGTTGAATCAGTCTCAGCTTAGGAGACAGCACTGAGAGCTGACAGATTCAACAAGGAGTGATCACAGGATCCCCTGATTTTATGGTTACTCTAGAAGACATTGGTGTTCAACCCTTGTAACCATATGCTATGCGCAAAGCTGTGAGATGCTGCTACTGACTCTTTCATTAAAGGACAATGTGAGAAAGCAATCCATATTTTTAAAAATAATTTTGTGGTAAGTGATCTGGCAAGGAATCTAGTTGTTTGGCTTTGTTGCATGCAGAGCCACTGCTACATAAAAAAAAAAGACAAAAGCTTGACTTCTGTAAGCTTAGACAAGTTACAGAGTGGAGAACCCAGAGATACTATCTTTCAAGCACATCCTGCTTCAAAAAGGAGAGCAAGAGAACATCTAATCCCTACCACCCTAGTCCTTCTCCCCTCCAAAACCTCTACAGGTCCCCTCCAGCCTCAACTATTCTGCAATTCTGTGAAAACACATGACAAGTTTTGCTGCGGTAGTATATATTTAGAACTGAAAACAATCTAGTTGTGAAAAACATATGCTACTGTTAGTCATAATCAAGCATGGACAACAATCTCAATTTAATTTCCATCTCTGCAATGTGTCCTTCTCTCCATGGTTGTATCCTGCAAAGAATTACCAAGGAAGGCCTTCCAGAGTGCTCCTATGAGTCTTTGTCCGTATGCCCTCTAAGCCATTCCTCCCAGCTGCCATTCCCTCCACTGGAAGGAAATTTCAGACATCTCTCCTTGGTTCCAGCGTGTCAGTTGCCATGTGGACTGCTGCACCAAGCAGAACAAACCTGCTTACAGTTGAGACTGCAGCCTTCTCACCACATTCCAAATCTAGAGTTGACTTCTGCAAACCTAAACGTGCAGCTTCCCTAGTGAGGGGTTCATCAGACCGAGCTGCAGTGCCCAAGAGCACATCCAACGTCTAAAAGTCAGCAGTGAAATTATCAGATTAATGTAACAAAGGACTTACATTGGAGACCTGATGGTCCCAGTTCTCCCCCAGATAAACTGTAAATTGTGTTACAGCTAAATTGTAACACACAAGGTTTCCTACAGAGGAAACCTATGCCTTCAATAAGATTATAAATTCATTCAGGTCTGAAACTGCCCATTATCAGCATGAGTATCAAGCACACAGGGTTTCAAAATATCTCAGAGCCAACAAGTTTAGTGAATTACGTGTAAAAAGACTTTTCAGAGCAAGTGCCAATTAAAAGCATTACTTTCCTCAAATCCTTGACAGTTTCCTGCACAAGCAAAAAGCAGTGACTTAGAAGGTGAGATGATTTAATGTCCTGAGCCTGCACTAAACTAACCAATATATTTACTACATTTATATTACCTTTCTGTACATAATTATTATCATAATATATAAAATAACCAATTGATCACAGCACCCAAGCAATGTTGTAGTCTCTAGAACATGAAGCATCTTATCTCGCCAATAACCAGATGTTAAGATTAGCCCCTGGTTTTATTTGCAAGGAAGCAGATCACAAAGGCTATTTCAAATCCAGCTACCAGCAATGACAACATCCTCATCCACTGCTACAGACTTCTTGGAGTAGCTCGTGAACTAATGTAGTGATATTTTATAGCCACTTCCCCATAACAGTACTAGCACCAATTCAGTACTATGTATACACTCGAACAACAAGAGTCCAGGTACAAGTAAAATGCTCTAGATGTTTCCATCATTTGAGACTTTTTACAAATAATATTTTGTTCTGTTTTCAAATTTTAAAAAGTACTTCTAATGGCTTGCCATGAGCAGTGCTCATTCCTGCTGCTCTCACTGTGAAATTGCCCTCATGGGAAACACAAGGAAGAGCTAAGTATAGACTAAATGTAAATTGGTCTTTCCAGCATTAGTATTTAGACTGTTTATAGTTTGTGTGAGGGCCATCTAAATGATAAACACTCCCATGAACTGAGATACCAATTATTTCCTGGCATTTCCAGTTTGTAAGAGGTATTAAACCTCCCACTAACAATTAAAATAAATTCCTAGGTCTGCTCAGCCTGCAGTACTGGATAGTGTACCTATGAGGAATGATGTAAGATTTCTTTCCATATGGCAGTAATTAACTGCATATAAAAAGATTCAGCATATGGATGGTTTCCTTTAATCAGTAAAGCCTTGATAACTCTGGGTTTGTACCTGAGGTGAACAACTAAGCTTCCTCTCATGCTCTGAATCAACTGAACATATAAAAAAACCCCATTCCTCACTGCCAAATTGCCAAACTAGAACTGACATCAACTAATTAGTAAACTATATTTTAAGTAATCAAGACAAACATATGTTTCTAACTGTGTGTCTCAGGACAAGTAACAAGACTTGTTTTGGAACAGAGCCAGACCACACAGCTTCTAGTAGAATGAGCAGTCTTTTTAACTTTTCAAAATGATTCCTAGCATTGCCACAGTTCACAGCATAGTATCAGTATTCTAAAGAGACCTACAAAAACTAGTAATTAAAACGTGGAAGTGAAACTGATCTCCAGATCTAGTGAAAAAGAAACCAAATCAATGTGTAGATGTTGGAGTTCGGATTGTGTTCTGAGTTTTATTTCTACTTTTCTTCACTTGGTTCTTTACAGCTTCATTTATGAAAAACTTGTCATTTCAAAGAAATTCATGGGTAGGAAATGAAGTGAAATGACTGGGCAGTGCCCCCTGACCCACTGTCAGTACCAGTCAGGCTAGACTACTGATTCAAAAGTTTGCTGGGAGGACCACTTTGACCAAGAAAAAACAATAATCTCATTACAGTCCTCCTGGGTTGGCCACATGTTGGCCACTGGCTTCATGGGAAGGAACTGCAGTAATGATGATCCATGTTGAGGCAGTCCTGCCTCAAAAGGAGCAGGACAGAGAGGAGGGGGAGAGAGATTGACACTCATGAGAATGCAAGACCACAAAACAATTTACTTGTAGAAACAATCTCAGAAATATTGAACAGCCAAGGTTGGAAGGGACCTCAAAAGATCATCTGGTCCAACCTTACATGGGAAAGGGAACCTAGATAAAAATCAGTCGAGCGCTCTGTTCAATTGCATTTTTAAAACCTCCAGTGATAAGGACTCTACCTCATCTCTGGGGAAGTTGTTCCAGTGAACGATTGTTCTCACTCTAAAAATTTCTTTCTCATATTGAGATTAAACCTCTTCCAGTGCAACTTGTATCTGTTGCCCCTTGTTTTTTTCCACATGGCTCCTTGTGAAGAGAGAGGCTCCATCCTCTTTGTACCACCCTTGAAATACTAGAATCCTACGATGAAGTTCCCCCCAAGCATTTTCTTCTCCAGGAAGATGAGCCTCCTTCAATCCTTTCTCACAGGGCAGATTCTCCAGCCCTTTGATCATCTTTGTAGTCTTCTTTTGGATCCTCTCCACATATTTTTTGAATTGTGGAGGCCAGAATTGGACACAGCACTCCAAGTGCAGCCTCACAAGCACTGAGCAGAGTGGGATGATCACATTTCCATCTCAGCTAGTAATGTCCCTGTGGATGCAGCCCAGCATCTGATTTACCTTCATCACTGCAGGAGCACACTGCTGACTCGTGTTCAGCTTGTTGTTCATCAGGCCCCCAGGTCCCTTCCAGCAAGGCTGCTCCCTGGCCACGCAGATCTCACCTGTACTGCATGTTTTGGTATTCTGTCCCAGGTGCAGGATTTTTCATTTGTCACTGTTAATATTCATATTGTTCTTGATA